ATTCTGACATATCTTCTGGCATTTTATCTGGCATTCTATCTGGCATTCTATCTGGCATATCTTCTGGAATATTTTCTGGCATATCTATCTGGCATATCTTCTGGCATATTTTCTGGCATTCTACCTGGCAAATCTTCTGGCACTCTATCTGACATTTTATCTTCCTACATGAGGTCCGGCAGGGAACACTTGGCATGGATACTCGCGGTTGAGGTCCGGCAGGGAACACTGGGCGTGGATGGCCGTGGTTGAGGTCCGGCAGGGAACACTGGGCGCGGATGGTCGTGGTTGAGGTCCGGCAGGGAACACTGGGCGCGGATGGTCGTGGTTGAGGTCCGGCAGGGAACACTGGGCGCGGATGGTCGTGGTTGAGGTCCGGCAGGGAACACTGGGCGTGGGTGGTCGTGGTTGAGGTCCGGCAGGGAACACTGGGCGTGGGTGGTCGTGGTTGAGGTCCGGCAGAGAACACTGTGGATCGCGGGTCGCAGTTGAGCAAGGACGACAAGGATGACAAGGAGGACGAGGAGGAGGAGGACGATGCAGGAGGAGGCGGAGGAGGAGGAGGAGCAGGAGGAGGAGGAGGAGCAGGAGGAGCAGGAGGAGGAGGCAACTGACATAAAATCTAACAACCCTCACCTGGCAGGTGGGGAAAAAAACTGTTTCAAAATCGATTAGTTTTCTGTCTAACATATAATTAAGATATTGCTAAAAATTGGATTTCGAAGTTTTCCCCTAAGATTAAATTAAAAACACTAAAAAAAATACTTTACTTCGTGTGATCCCCACCATGACATTTATACATTTTCTTACTGACATATCTTCTGGCATTCAATCTGGCATTCTATCTGGCATATCTTCTGGCATATATTCTGACATATCTTCTGGCATTCTATCTGACATATCTTCTGGCATATCTTCTGGCATTCTATCTGGCATATCTTCTGGCATTCTATCTGTCATATCTTCTGGCACTCTATCTGACATATCTTCTGGCATTCAATCTGGCATTCTATCTGGCATATCTTCTGGCATATATTCTGACATATCTTCTGGCATTCTATCTGGCATATCTTCTGGCATATATTCTGACATATCTTCTGGCATTCTATCTGACATTTCTTCTGGCATATATTCTGACATATCTTCTGGCATATCTTCTGGCATATCTTCTGGCATATCTTCTGGCATATCTATCTGGCATATCTTCTGGCATATTTTCTGGCATTCTATCTGGCAAATCTTCTGGCATTCTATCTGGCATTCTATCTGGCATATCTTCTGGCATATTATCTGGCTTTCTATCTGGCATATCTTCTGGCATATATTCTGACATATCTTCTGGCATTCTATCTGGCATTCTATTTGGCATTCTATCTGGCATATCTTCTGGCATATCTTCTGACATTCTTTCTGACATTCTTTCTAACTTTCTTCTGCGCATTCTTTGTCCCATATCTTCCTACATGAGGTCCGGCAGGGAACACTTGGCATGGATCCTCGCGGTTGAGGTCCGGCAGGGAACACTGGGCGTGGATGGTCGCGGTTGAGGTCCGGCAGGGAACACTGGGCGTGGATGGTCGTGGTTGAGGTCCGGCAGGGAACACTGGGCGTGGATGGTCGTGGTTGAGGTCCGGCAGGGAACACTGGGCGTGGATGGTCGTGGTGGAGGTCCGACAGAGAACACTGTGGATCGCGAGTCGCAGTTGAGCAGGAGGACGAGGAGGACAACGAGAGGAGGAGGAGGAGGACGAGGAGGAGGAGGAGGACGAGGAGGACCAGGCAACTGACATAAAATCTAACAACCCTCACCTGGCAGGTGGGGAACTATGTTTTTTCGATTTCAAGAATCGATTAGATTTCCTTTTGACATCCAGCAAAAATATTGCCAGGAAATGCCAAAAAGTGGATTTCGAAGATTTCCCCCAATATTATATAAACGTTGTAATATAAAATACTTATTTTTTCGACCTTAAAAGACCCTAGTTTAAAAAATCACCGGGGCTGACTAGTTTTATTTTTTGGTGGTGAAATCCTGAAATGGGACCTTCATGTTTAATTTGTTTTTGAAAAGGTATCAATTAAAAGTCAAACTGGCCAGCCTGAAATTTCCCAAAATTTAACGCGGACCCTAGTAAAAGGAATCAATGTAATATTTTAGTATTTAGGGTACGTTTAGTAAAAGGAGGTGGGGATTAGTAAGGTTTTCAATTTAATATAAGGGGAAGCTTCGAAATCCAATTTGGCAAGATTTGAGTTAGATTTTGAATAGGAATTCAATCGGTTTTGAAATATAAAGTTCAATTTTTAAAACGAATGTTTTCAATTTAATGTCAGGGGGAAGCTTCGGAATCCAATTTTGGCAATATTTTAGTTAGATGTTATTTTAAAAATGTTTTCCAATTTAGTTTTTTTTAACCAAGGGGGAAGTTTCGCACCCTCATACTAAATACCCACTAAATACAAAAAACTGTTCCGTGTGTTCATTATTGGGTGGGGAGGGGCAGACGGTTTATTATGACGCAGGGATTGGTCAGGCATCACTTGCTGGAATTATTGGATTCTTTTGGGATGATTGGTATGATGTTTAGTCAGGCATGGTTCCCTTCAGTCACGCACGATTTTTGCAAAAATCCTATTTAGGCACGACCCCAAAGTCCCAGCCCGGCAAATTCCGGCCCGCGCCCGGCAAATTCCGGCCCGCGCCCTGCAAATTCCGGCCCTGCGTTTTTCCAAAATCCGGCAAAACCAGTAAATCAGGTATTAAGTCAGGTGTAGTTACCTTTTAAGTCATTAAGGCTAGTCAGGCATGGTTCCAGTGGGTACCTTTTAATTGTGAAAGCTAGTCAGGCATGGTTCCCTGAATTCAGGGGCATGGGTACCTTTTAATTATGAAGGCTAGTCAGGCATGGGTTCTGTTAAGTCAGGCGTGGGTGGGTACCTCTTAATTATGAAGGCTAGTCAGGCATGGTTCCCTTAAGTCGGGTGTGGTTACGCTTTAAGTCATGAAGGCTAGTCAGGCATGGGTACCTTTTAAGTGATGAAATCTGAATCAGGCGGAGCTCCTATTCTAAATGTGTTAAATCCAATTGTTCAGTCTGGAAAATCGATTTTTTGGCTGGTCTACGGGCAAACCCTGTGTCTTCCAATACCATAGCGTGCTGATGTCGCTTGCCTGCATAATAGTTAAGGCCAAAGCTTAGGTCATCAGTGTGATCCTGAACGACCAAGAAGATGACATGTGTAAAATGGGCCCTGGATTAACAAAGGCTGACTAATGAATTTGGAGGATGCCACTAAAGTATGACATGTAATCACTTTTGAGGAGCACTCTATGGCACGCAGCGCGCGCAGCCTGCTTTACGGTTTAGCGTTTGAAAGTTTTAGGCTTTGCCTCTATGGCACGCAGCGTTTGAAAGTTTAACCGTTTACCTCTATGGCAGGCTGCGCGCGCAGTACGCGTTACGGTTTAAAGTTTGAAAGTTTTTGGGTTTATGTGTGTGGCACGCAGTGCGCGCAGCGCGCATTAGGGTTTAGGGTTTGGAAATTTTATAGTTTATTTTATTGCATGCAGCGTGCACAGCGTGGGTTGAACTTTAGGGTTTCGAAGTTTTAGGGTTAACCTCCATGACACGATGGTTTAGGGTTTGGAGATTTTAAGGGGTACTTCTATGGCACACAGCGCGCGCAGCGCGCATTAGGGTTTAGGGTTTAGGGTTTGGAAATTTTAGGGTTTACCTCTATGACACGAGAGTTTCAGGTTTGAAGATTTTAGGGTTTATTTCTATTGCACAAAGCGCGCGCAGCGCGCATTAGTGTTTAGGGTTTGAAGGTTTTAGGGTTTATCTCTGGCACGCAGCGCGCACAGCACGCATTAGGGCTTAGGGTTTGGAAGTTTTAGGGTTTATTTTATTGCATGCAGCGCGCACACCGCGGGTTAAACTTTAGGGTTTGGAAGTTGCATAACACGATGGTTTAGGGTTTGGAAATTTTAGGGTTTACTTCTCTGGGACACAGCGCGCGCACCGCGCATTAGGGTTTAGGGTTTGGAAGTTTTAGGGTTTACTTTATTGCATGCAGCGCGCGCAGCGCGCATAGAGTTTAGGGTTTGGAAGTTTTAGGGTTTCAAGGGTTCCAAGGTTCCAGTGTACCAGGGTCCCACGGTTTCAGGGCTCCAAGGTTTCCAGGGTTCCAAGGGTTCCAAGGGTTCCAGGGTTTCAGGGTTCCAGGATCCCAGAGGGTTCCAGAATCCTTGAGGGTTCCTGGGTGCCAAGGTTCCAAGGTTTCAGGGTTCCACGGTCGCAGGGTTCCAAGGTTCCAGGGTTTCAGGGTTCCGGGGTTCCAGGGTTCCAGGGTTCCGGGGTTCCAAGGTTTCAGGGTTCCAGGGTTCCAGGGTACCAGGCGGTTTCAGGGTTCCAAGGTTTCCAGGGTTCCAAGGTTTCCAGGGTTCCAAGGGTTCCAATGGTTCCAGGGTTTCAGGGTTCCAGGATCCCAGCAGGGTGCCAGGTGTGCAGGGTTGCAGGGTTCCAAGGTTCCAGGGTTCCAAGGTTGCAGGGTTCCAGAATCTTTGAGGGTTCCAGGGTGCCAAGATTCCAAGGTTTCAGGGTTCCACGGTCGCAGGGTTTGAAGGTTCCAGGGTTTCAGGGTTCCAGGGTTCCGGGGTTCCAGGGTTCCAGGGTTCCAGGGTTCCGGGGTTCCAAGGTTTCAGGGTTCCAGGGTTCCAGGGTTCCAGGGTTCCGGGGTTCCAAGGTTTCAGGGTTCCAGGGTTCCAGGGTTCCAGGGTTCCAGGGTTCCGGGGTTCCAAGGTTTCAGGGTTCCAGGGTTCCAGGGTTCATTCCGGATTTTGAAGGCTGCAAGTCCCCGCGAGCCAGCCCCAGCCCTAGAGATTGAAACCCAACAGGCCCTGCTGTTGGGAATTATATATATAAGGTTCGGATTTGATTTTGCTAATTTTTCTTCGGGGTAACCAGGTTGCTACGTTTGGCTTTGATTCTGGTCACCAAGGAATGGGGAATCCGCGGCGCCATGGACCTTCCTGATTGGTTCACGGCATATCCCTTTCCTTGGTTCCAGGCTGGGAGGTTTGAATAAAGAATATAGACATAGATGCTGGACTCATCTGGACTCCATGATCTTCTCATTGATGATTTTCCTTGGTTCAAGCTTGGGATATAGTTCATTCATCATGGGATATAGATGGTTTTCCTGTTGAGAATGGGATTTATACATTGATATAATATAGATGTATTTGGGAAATCATCTATAAATAGGGACTTATTGAAGGGGATATTTTTAAACGGGAGTCTTCATCGCGATGGAGATCACGAACCAAGATGATGGAGGCGCCGTCCCAGCGCTATAGGTGTTGTTTGGCAATGGAGGAGTAGACCCGCCGATCCTCAGCATGTTGCTGTTCTCCATCAATTCGATAGCAGGCTGTTGCAGTCGGGCCAGGATTGGGTTCGAGGGCAGTTTTTTTCGATGCTGGAGTAGTCGGATTCTCCAGGGAAGAGTCAGAAAATGCATGAAAACATGCCATGGTTGAGGTACCTGAAAAGGGACCCAGAACTGGGGTACACACCAAAGCGGCCAGTTGAAAAAAGATCAACCATGGTAAATTTGGGTACCATCTGTTTAACCCAAATTGTCTCGAGAGCCACGCCTTTGGCCGCTGGTGGGGTGTGCCGGTGTGTCCAAAGCGTTTGCGTTTGTATGATTTTGTATGTATAGTTGTTGTGTATGCGCGAAGATCCTACTTATGTTCAGATACATGAATGTGAATTCATGTGCATTTCCCTGATTCAGAAACTTGGGGGCAAATACCTATATACATTTATACTGTAACTATATATAATTATAGGTTGCCAAAGTTTTACACGTATTTCAGTATTCAGTGGGATGTCAATCGACTGTTTCTCTGTCGGATGGCTATGTGTGTGTGTGTGTGGGTGTGTATGCACTATATATATATATTATGCACATGTGTTGCGATCCTAAGTATTTCAATACATGATACACACATACATACATACATACATACATATATATATATATATACTGTATATATATATTATATATATTATATATATATATTATATATATTATATATATATATTATATATATATTATATATATTATATATATATTATATATTATATATATATTATATATTATATATATATATTATATATATATATTATATATATATTATATATATATATATTATATATATATATTCAACATATTCGACCAGGCTGAGGCCTGACTGATGTCATCTTGCCGCCATCAAAAAAGAGGGCTTTGGTCGGCCGTTGGTCCTCGTGCCACAGGTGCCATCGGTGCGCCCATCTGGGCCTCCTTGGCCAAAAGGGCACAACCCCGGCACCTCTTGGCTGCAGGCATGCTCCTGCAGGCCGAAATTTGGGATGTGGATACCCTCTGGTTATGTCAAAATAGCTATTGAAAATGGCCATTTATAGTGGATTTTCCCATTGAAAATGGTGATTTTCCATAGTTATGTTAGTTTACCAGAGGGTAAGTGATTTGGGAATATTTGGGAGTTATCTATCCGAAGGTGCCTGAAAAACCGAAGTATTCGATGGATGTGGCCCGATATTCTGACATTGTGAGTGAACAATGGACACTCTATTTTTTGGTTCTTACTGTAAGCGTCTTGGGTGGGGGAATCTGCGGATGAGCGCAGCTAAGATCTTCCAAAACAACGATTTTTTGGTGTTCCAACTTTTGTGACGGTGCCAACTTTTTGCAGGGGGCAGCGCCTGAAATGAAGAAATGATTGGAGAACTCATGGTAAACTTTCGGAAAAAACATATAGGAAATCATGAGCCAACGATGATTCCAACAATGATTCGTCCACCATGGATAGCCCACTTGCCCCTTGAATTTTCATGTTGCGTCAAGTGTTGCTAGGTGCCTTTTCTGACGTACATGCTCTGTGTGCATCGTCCCAATCTCTCCTTGGCCATCACGTTGGTTTTCTTCCAGGGCTTAGCGAGTTCAGGCCAGGTCGATGGCTGGGTGATGACTATTCATGGGGATACAACCAACTGTGTTTCTGGAGATGCAGATAATCAGCAGGGGATGTGTTGATCTGTAGACATGTAGATTAGCTACAAGACTTGTATAAATGATGTGTAGATTATTTAAGAATTACCTGAATATGTAAAGATGATGTGCGTCCCATGCGGCTGATGTTCCCGCCTTGAGCTCCAAGTTCTCGGATTAAAAACACACACACACACTGTGGGACACACATGTAACTAGTAGATTCCCTCTACCCTCCGGTGATCATCCATAAATGGAGGTTTTAATGGGATAATCATCCATTGGTAACACAGCTGTCGAACATGGCCTGTTGAGTTTAATAGGAGCCATTACTGGGAGGGCACCTGGGCACCTGGCAGATGGCTATAGTCCCTTAGGAGCGGTAAGAATCAACCAGTGGTGACCCGGACCCACCACAGAGAGACAAGCAGACAGACAGACAGACAGAGAGACAGACAGACGGACAGACGGACAGACGGACAGACGGACAGACGGACAGACGGACAGACGGATAGACGGACAGATGGACAGACGGACAGACGGACAGACGGAGAGACGGACAGACGGAGAGACAGAGAGACGGACAGACGGATAGTTAGATAGTTAGATAGTTTGATAGTTGGATAATTAGTTAGATAGTTAGATAGTTAGATAGTTAGATAGTTTGATAGTTAGATAGATAGTTAGATAGATAGATGGGTCAATAGATAGATAGACAGATAGATAGATAGATAGGTAGATAGATAGATAGGTAGATAGATAGATGGGTCAATAGATAATTTGATAGATAGATAGATAGAGATAGAGATAGACAGATAGGATAGGATAGGATAGGATAGGATAGCATCGCATCGCATCGCATCGCATAGATTCGCATAGCATCGGATAGCATAGGATATACATATATATATATACATAGTGTATATATATATACATACATGCATACATGCATGCATACATTACATTACATTACATTGCATTGCATTACATTACATTACATTACATGCATTACATACATTGCATACATTACATACTTACATACATACATTGCTTACATTATATGCATTGCATTGCATTGCATTGCATTACATTACATTACATTACATTACATATACATATGCATTTCTTGCGCCCGAAACCGCCCTTTAGCCATATATTCATAATATATATATATATGTGTGTGTGTGTTGGATCTCAACACCAGCAGCGCCAGGCTCACTGATCTTCATTTGCTTCAACTTCATGATGAGTATCAAGGCGGATGTGAGCCACGCAGCCTATCGCATGGGCATCCTGGAGATGACCCGACAGGCAGTGACGTGGTTCATCACGGCTTACATCTTCATGGCCTCACCCAGTACCAAGGATGGGACAATGGGGAAACCCAAAGTGAGCCAGGCGAATAGCCTGTTGCTTGGTTGGGTTAGACTACCTGGTTTAATGGGATTATTTGAAAGCCATACTAGGAAGATTTACTCACCAAGCAGTATGAAGGAATGATAATGACAGAGGGGTTTGAATATTGCTCGAGTGTTGCTGTACCATGGGAAATTTCTCCGTAAGATTGATGGTCCATGTTCTTAAATGATGGATTACAGTAAATTAACATAAATTAACCCATTATATACTTGGGATGGTTATGAATACATGTTAATAGGCATTCGATTCACATACTCATTCTGTGAGGGGAATCCTATGATGGGATGACCATCCCATTGATTGATCCCATGTAACTTGACCATGTAACTTGACGGTGGTGTTTGTCGCTGGCTATGGATATGCTATTGTGTTTGGTGTTTATCTCAGTATTATGTATATAAATATAATATATATATATACACAATCATACAAACCTGCATGCGTATGTGTATATAATTATATATATGTACATGTATGTGTACATATATACACATACATATGCATATGCACATGTGCACCCTCTACATATACACTCGTTTACATGCACGTCAACTGTTTGGCTATCTATGTTTATTTCTCTGAATCTTACCTTATCTTACCTGATCCAATAGTGTCTAAATCTAAGCTAATCTTTTCTTATCATATAATGTCATATCAGATTTGTCTTCTGTCGATCCATCTGTAGACATGCAATATGTCTGTAAATCAATATACATCATCATGGGCTCAAAATTACCACGCACAGAACGATGTTCCTCAAAAATATACCAATTTGATTGCTATCATTTATCAATCCTTAGGTATCTCAATGATATATACAATTTGTGTCAACACGCACACACCCGACGGATTGCTAAACATCACCAGCCTTTTGTCCAGGAGGGTACTGCTGGAGAACCACTTCCACCTGCCGTTTATTGGCTGCTGCTCCCGGCCACTGCAGTGGCTTGGTAAGACGAAGGTGTCCCATAAATATCCCAGATTTTCATGGTGAATCACCAGCAAAATGGCATCTCCAAGATGATTTTACTCATGGAGATGGCCCAAGTATCAGATTTCATCTGCGTAAATTTGGGTTTTTCATCGATGATATCCTCATGATATCCTCATAGACCAAGCAGCTGTGAGGTGGTGGTCCTGGCTACGATGGTTCCGGGCGTCCTCTTCTGCATGGCCCCGGGCCCCTACCGTGAAGATGGACTGCCCAGCTGGGACTCTTGGAGAACTGGGGGAAAGATTGGGATTTTTTGAGACTTGACCGACTGGGGACACTAAGATTCTTTAAAGGAAGAGTGACTCTTGTTCTGGAAAATTGGGAAGTTTTTGATGCGATAAAAATGATCTACACATGGTGGATGTTCCATAACCAAATATATACATATATATATATATACATATGTATATATATATATATATACATATGTTCCTTTTTATGGGGATCTAGCCATATCTAGCCCACGATCCTGGGATGTGAGAGATCAACCAAGAAGAAATCGGGTCTTTGCCATGTTTGGGGAGGCCATGTTGAGGCTTTCTTCAAATCCAGAGCCTCGGGGTTTCCCCCGGCATCGCCACTAAGGGAGTTTGAACATGTTTTAACTTTTTTGATTCCTATCATTCTGGTTTGACCCGTGAGGAGTCTGATTTGACACCTGCAGAAGTTTGGGAATCTTCTCCTGGGAGTTTGCTCAGTAGAACTCTTGTGACTCTTGTGCTTGTCTCTTCCTTCCATGTTCAATGCCCAGGAATTCAAGAACTTTTGGAAGAAAGGAAGCTTTGTGATTCTGTCCATCTCAGATATTCTCGGAAGCTTGGTGGTTTTCCCCAGCACTTGCTACATCCAGTGGTGGTTGGCCAATGGCTGGGACGATATGTCTCTGGCGTTTCTGAGCGTTGTCTTTGCGTTCGCCTTGGCAGGCCCGGATGTTGTGCACCCATACCTGGGAATCATCATACCTCCATTCACCCGGGTTTGTAAAGCCATTATCTATCATTATCTGGGAATCTCTGAGAATGGCTGAGTGACTGCGCTCGAAACATCTCGAAACCACTGAGCAGGGCCCAGAAACCAGAATAGATTACTAAGATTACACTCCCCATTGAACATCATCAGTATCAGCTCAGCCACCAACGGAACCTTCCTACATCCGAAAAATCATCCCCAATTCCACTCGTCATCATGGCGCCATGGCGCCATGGGCCAGGGATCCCAGGGATTCCGGCGCAGGTGTGACCGTCCTGTGGGCGAAGGCCTTGGGAAGTGCCATGATGCACGGCTTCGCGTTGCTCATGGGCGTGACTTTGCTGCTGCCACCGGCCACCATCCTCCGCGCCATCGTGCAAATGGAGGTGGAGGGCATAGGGCTGTTTTGCGAAAGCAATATGGTGAATTACTGTCCCATATATATATATAATTATATTATATTATATTATATTATACTATACTATATTATATTATATTATACTATATTATATTGTATTATATTATATTATATTATGATATTATATTATATTATGTTATATTATATTATATTATTATATTATATTATATATATTATATTATATTATTATATATTATATTTATTATATTATATATTATATGTTATATTATATTATATTATATATTATATTATAGTAATATTATATACTATATATATATATTTATATTATATTATATTATAATTATATTATTATATATATTATATATTATATTAGATTATATTATTATATATATTATATTATTATTATATTATATTATTTTATTATATTATACTATACTATACTATATTATATTATATTATGTTATGTTATATTATATTATATTATACTATACTATATTATAGTATATTATATTATATTATGTTATATTATATAATATTATATTATACTATATTTTATTATACTATACTATATTATATTATATTATATTATACTATATTATATTATATTATATTATGTTATATTATATTATACTATATTATATTATATTATATTATGTTGTATTATATTATATTATATTATGTTATATTATATTATATTCTGTTATGTTATGTTATGTTATATTATATTATACTATACTATACTATATTATATTATATTATACTATACTATACTATAATATATTATACTATACTATATTATATTATATTATATTATACTATATTATACTATACTATATTATATATATTATATTATGTTATATCATATTATATTATACTATATTATATTATATTATACTATACTATATTATATTATATTATACTATATTATATTATATTATATTATGTTATATTATATTATGTTATATTATATTATATTATACTATATTATATTATATTATGTTATATTATATTATATTATATTATGTTATATTATATTATATTCTGTTATGTTATGTTATGTTATATTATATTATACTATACTATACTATATTATATTATACTATACTATATTATATTATACTATACTATATTATACTATACTATATTATATTATATTATACTATATTATATTATATTATACTATACTATACTATATTATATTATACTATACTATACTATATTATATTATATTATATTATATTATATTATTATATTATATTATATTATGTTATGTTATATTATATTATATTATATTAGATTATATATAGTAATTAATATATATATATATAATTATAGGCATAGATTATGTACTATATTATATATTCTACACAAAGTGTATACTATTCATAATGCAACGTATCATACAAACAATATATCAAATATCAGCAGACCTTGGGTAAATGTCGATCTATATTGGTACCATTTGGGATGTTCACCGAAGGGTCGCGTTGTGAGGTCTCTACCTTCACCTTTTTGGGACGATCCAATGTGGCCGTGATCATTTGTGGCCGGACATCAGGATGGGGAATGGAAATCCTGACAGCCTGACAGCTGGAATGTAGAAGTAAAGCCAAACAGAATTGGACTGGTATGGACTGGTAGCTGGTGTCTAAGATCTATTTCATGTTTTGATTTTGATATATATATATATATATGTAGATCTGTATGTTACAGCCTGGAAATGAGGATGGTGATCCCCAATGACGAGCTCATTGTTCAAGGGTTTGAAACCATCAACCAGCTAAATCGGATATTTTAAGGGATAATAATAACACGTTTCCAATTGTGATAATTGTGCAGTCGTTGCCGGAATCTGGGGTTAAAGAAGTCAGCAGCCCATCAGTAGCTCCACCCCTTGACCCATGCCGTTTCTAGACCATCCAAGGAGTCCAACCACTCCCCAACCAGTCCCCAACCCAGGTTGCCTCTCGCTGATCTACGAGGGAGTTCGAATGTCTTCAGCTTGGGCTGTGAAGGTCCGGGTGCTGAATTCCAGGTGGAGGTTGTTGAGCTATGGCGCCTGGGTCGCGATGGTTTAGCACTTGACCCCTGAGTTTTTCATATGTGTTTTTTGTTTGGTTTTTCCTAGGGCCCTAAGGTTCTCAGGTGTTGTAAGCCACCTGCGGTCGGAACACTACAAGACCCGATTGCAGATGATACTTCATCTATCTTCATCTTCTACTTGGAGTTGTAATGTATGGCAAAGATGTTCTCCACCGCACAGAGGCACAAACCATCCCAAAAACACAAGAATCGGCTGTTCTGAGGCACTGTCGCAATCTCTTTGCAAGGATGGCCTGGGGTTGTGGCCCCCATGTGTCATCAAAAATACTCTATGATAAGAGAGTTTCCGTTGTCAGCTTACTGTACCAGATGGAATCCAGCAGAACTGTTTGACACTAGGATTTGTGGAGCGCAAAAGCGGATCGACCATGATTCACGATAGCCCGATAGCTGTGCTATCCAAGCCACTTTAGAGACCATTTCCACCGCAGGATTCGCGAGTTTTCTCTCGCCCTTCCTCTGTGAATACCTGGCGCGACGGCACGCCACGACCTTTATCTCCGCCAATCAGAAGGAGTTGGCCGACGCAACGTTGGTCACCATGGTGCCGTTGTCGCTGGTCCAATTTGCCATGCAAATCGTGGCAGTCACGTGGCCATGATGGGGAGCTAGTTGGAGCGAGGTTCCGAACCACATAGCGAACAAAAACATGTTTCAAAAGAATCTATGGATATCTAATCTATGGGGGTTTCCTGAACTAGCGGTACCCACCAAACCTCTCAGCCAAGGCGCCTTGGATCCGGCATGACTTGGGGATTGCTTCCTCGCACTCGCTGTGCCACGGCGTGGAATGGTGTGGACCAATGGCGCCAGCTAAGCAGCAATAAATGGCTTGAACATGTTTTCAGCAATAATTATAATATACAATACTGGATATATACTGGAATATTATGTGTATATATATATATACACATTATATATATATATTATATTATGTGTATATATATATATTATATATATATAATATTATGTATATATATATGTGTGTATATTATATACATAATATATATATAAATATACATAACATATATATATATATTGAAGATATAAACCAGAAAGGTGATATGGGAGTGTCTGAAAATGGATGATTTGCTTTCAACGTTATGGCAAATTTGAAAGGGAACATGATCATTGGACCAGTGGATGGAATGGGGTGCCCACTTAAGGGCGGTTGAATCACAGAGGGGGCACTGTGAACTGACCGCGGCTTTGTGAAATCTTCCACCGGTGTGTGGAACTCACAACCACTCTGTGCCTTTGTGTGACCATTCAGAGGAAAACCCAAATTTGATGGTTTATCATCATTTCTCCTATTATATATATATATATATACAGGGCCTTTTGGGGCGTACATATTTTTCTACAGGTTTCCTCAGTCATTGGTGAACTTGGTGAACATCAAACCCTCCGTATCTTGGTACCCTAAAATCCAGTGGTTTAATGCATCATTTGCTCCATTAAAATTACCATCAATCCGGGGTATACAGTCCATTTGAGACACTCAAATCATCCCAAATCATCTTACTGGTTGATATCACTATATCACCCTATTTTGGTTAACTCAGATGATCAAAAAACATATAATAACTTAAACATATTTAAATATCACCCTGTCCGTATCACTTAGATGAGATCACCATGGTTTTTCCTATGGTTTTTCCGCCATGGCTACAGCAGGTATCGCGACAGTCGGGACTTTTTTCGCTGCCGCCATTGGACCTTGAAGCGTTCGGCCTGGCGGCGGCTGCCACCGCAGATGGCCATCTTCTGCGGCGTGGCCTTAGGCCGACACGGCCGACCGGGAAACGACCTGGAACATGGTGGACGTGGGATGTAAAAAAAAAGTGTGAAACATATGGAAAACATCCAAGAAATCTAGAGAATTCATGAGGTTTCACATTTGATTTCACCGGAAATGTTGTGGGAATGAGTCAAGTCTGAGGTTTGACGTTGTTGACTAGGCTCATGGATGGGTTTATGGAGGGTTTGTCTTCAGTTGGAGATATCGTTGATGATCTAGACTGTGGAACCACTATAACGGTAACAATAACATGGGGAATACAGCTGCAGAACAATAATATCGCCGAATGATGGTCCTGGCTGAAATCCATGGGCTGTGGGCCCCTGCAAATTTGATCATTGTAAAAGCCAGACAGCTAAACCTCAAATCAAAGGGCTCTAATGGTGGCCCTATGCTTGGGGCCACCATGAGCGTGTTTGGGGGCACCATGGGCTTCACGAAGGGTGAATCCTGAAATCAAAACATCCGAATGCTAACCTCAGACTCCCTAGATTTTATCAATTCAGTACACCCTAGTGGATTAGACGGTTAGACCTCCCAAAACTTTATCCTGGTGGCTAGTATTTTTGGAGGTCAGACCCCAGCCTGCCACTATCCAACGGGGATCAATAAGGACCAAGCGGGTTTGTCTGAAAATAGGATATCCCTAAATCTCATGGTTGATCATCATAATCCAGTTTTTCCCAATTAATATTGGCGTAAATGTTTGTGTACAACCCCAGTCAGTTGTATGCGTATTATGGCTGATAATTTGCCAGTGCGAGTCTCACAATCAGAAGTGGAAACTTGCCACAAACCAATAAACTCTTGGTAGTGAATATCATGACTATTGCGATGACTGCTATTAAAATGGTGATTGCTATTGGGATACTGGGAGTACATTTGGGATCCATAATGCCAAAAACCATTCCCGCTTGTCAGCTATAAAAGGGGCCTTTATAGATCATCCCATTTGTAGGGCTATACAGGTTTACACAAATTCATAAACCTGAAATTGGGGATGGTTTTTGAATCTTTTTGATGGTTTTTGTGGATCTCTCTTTAAATGCTAGTGAAGGATAGCCTACTGGATTAGTTGTTCGGTAGCAATCGGGAAAATAGAACACACATATATATGATCCCGGTCCCCGGTCCCGTAGCATCCCCCCCCAATGGTATGGTCCTACTCCCTGACCTAGAATCTGTCATTTCCATGGTATTTACAGCATTTTGGATGCAACACCTCATATTTCCATGTTTGCACCGGTTTGGATGGAGAACCTCATATTTCCATGGTATGTACAGCATTTTGGATGCAAAACCTCATATTTCCATATCAACATACCAACATACCTATATAGATACAGACCTACATACCTTCATACCTACATGCATACATACCTACGTACCTAGGTACCTACATACCTGCAGACCTACATACCTACATACCTGCAGACCTGCAGACCTACATGCTGCCCACAAACCTACCTACCTACCTACCTACCTACTTACATACATACATACATACATTTTACTCACATTACCACCTACAGGACCCACCCAACTCCCACATCCACAGGGGGGAGGGGGGAACCATGACCATGGGGGGGAGGGGGGGGTCCCCGAACCTGGAACATATATATACATATATATATACATATTCACATATGTATATATATATACATATGTATAATATATATACATATGTATACATACTTATATATATATATATTATGGTCATATATGAGTCATATATATATATTGTTTTTTTGATGTTTTTTGGGCGAAGGTGTATGTAAGATAGTTTAAGATTTTGCCATCTAGAGAGCATTATTTTGTCGAAAAGTCTGGATAGAAGTTGTGGATGATTGGCCTGTTGAACATGTTTTTTTTTTTTTTTTCCGGCCAACTATGGTTGTTTTTACACCAACAAAATGCTCTGACTGTGTGCAAGAGATTCACAGACATCAAAACAGATACAGTATCTGTTACGTATCTCTGCGCATAGGTATACATATACTGTATATTATTATTGTTGTTATATATGTATATATGATTATCTTATGCAGTGCAGCAGAATAATGCACCATGAAACTGGCCCAATCTGGCCCAGTCGACCAGGCGCTCTTGCCCTTTCTGTTCAGAGTCATTTGATGGAAAGGCGCGGGCCGTTTTAGTCGCCGTCGGTGGTTGCGAACATGAATTTCCATCCCCCCTGGTACATGCCCAGAATTGGTTGAAGGCACGATTTTTTTGGACAGAAAACCATGGGGGTTCTGCAAGATTTGTCCCTTAAAGCAATCCAATGAGACCTGGGATCATTCATTTTTTAGATGTTCGATATACTGTGTATGGATCCCACAACCCACATCCCCATGATATCCTCATGACAGGCCCATTCCCTTCGCTCCGGTGCGGCTGTGTTCGGGCGGCTTTCAACGGTCCGCCTGCGAACATCTGGCGGATGAGACCGATCCGCGAGCCGCAGACATCTTTGGAGTGCGTGGGAAAGGCAGCTTCTTGGATCCAAATTTCTTCAGAAACATGGTGATATAGTGGTAATATGATAGGGATGTAACATGATGTAACCAACAATATGTAATGTAATATGTGATAAATGGGTGCTGAAAATGGTGGATTTACCCATTTGATGGCCATTCCCAATAGGGAAGATCATCAACCCGGGGATTTACGGGTACCAGGGGTACCCAAAAAACCAGACCCGCGCAGCTCAAAGGTTATGGGCTGAATCGCTTTGGACACAGCACCAGCGGGAAGTTCAACTGCCAGGCCGTTGCGGGCTGTTGGGGAATGCAGATGAGCAGTTGAAATCGCATTCTTCATGGGTACCCTTGGGGAATGTGACAGTTTGCATAAAATTACCATGGAGATTACAATCTTTGAGGTTTGAATGGGTAAATATGGTAAATCATCGAAGTGAAGGGCACTTACCACAGCTATGTCAAATACCGACAAGACAGTGTAGCGGCATATTTATATGTATATATATATATATATGTGTATCATTTATAGAGGCTTAAGCCGTCACTAGTATGGGGATATCATGGATAACTGGTTGGTTGATGATGAGGTGTTTTATTACCCAATGTATACAGGGGATTATATTGACAATATCACAATATATGGACTCAGAATCCCTATTAACTTAACCAACATTGCTCAGATGGAAATGAGAAGTGCTGGGAGGGGTTAATTACTTGCAAGATGTCGTAACATGTCGTAATTGTATCATGGATATGGGCTGCAAGTGGCTGAATTTGGATCTACAAAAACTTTCTCAATTGGAGTACCAATGGCTTTTGGTAGATCTGAAAAGTGTGTCGTTCAAATCGCTCAGTCGCAAGGTTAAAATATCTTAAATAAAATATCTTATGTATATATAATATATATATATATACATATATATATATATACACACCCTCCAGGAATCAAACATGGCAATGGGAAATCAACCGCAAATGGAGTTTCAATGGCAAACTGATCTATAAATAGCGGAGAATTGTCCATGCTATGTTTGCTCCACCGAGGTGCGGATGACAAAGCTTGAGGGAGACACCTTCGTCTTTTGGCCCAAGGGCAGATGTCAAGTTTGGAGACGCTTGGTGCGACAATCCAAGGGCGGTTGGGGACGTTGTGTTGGCGGTTGGGGACCATGCTCTTCCGTAAAGCCCATGGAAACCCTGCAATTGCCGATTGGTTTATTGCTAAGGGTTTATCACCTTGAGTGTCGCAGAGTCTACCAGGTATAAATACTGCGTGTTTTTTGGTAGTAATGTATGGAAAAAAATCTGCTATTCCACAGCATTTCATTTGTTTGCATGATATTCAAGGCTATGCACGCAGTAGTTTGTTGCGTAGATCAAAGACTTTCGGCACTCCTGTAGCTTGGTCCGAACAGACAGGCTTGCTCCAACCCACTAGAGGTAGATCACCACAAGGGGGGTGTGATAATTTTACCTCTTTAGATGTCCATTTTTCCTGCTTGTAGGGTGGGAGCAACCCACATGTGCCGCAGCCACGGGACCATCAGGATGTCACAATGGTATCGATGGCCGCCGGGGCAAACCCAGCACGGACGGACGAGAGGTTTGGTCGCAGCACTGCAACGTCTCAGGTGGGAATTCAGACTGGAGAAAAGGATGGGACCCGGCCCAAAAAACCTGGTGCTGTTGAGCAACAGGTTTGTCTGAAGTCAACTGCAACCATTTGAGGTCTGTTTAAGTCTGTTTATTAAACCACTGTTTATCATTGTTTATCTACAAAAAGACGATTGCCCCTCGTAACTCCAGGTGTAATTCCCCAAATGTGGTGTCTCCAGAGGATCCCTCCATCGGTGACTGGCAGGTCAGAACCATATCATGGCGCATCTCTTCGAATGGCCTTGGCCAGATGTCGCTAGAGAGCGTCTAGAACCTGATTAGACTGATGACATTCATAGAATCTCCAGAACAGTTCTCTTGGGTGCAGATTCTGCCCGGATTCTGAGTCCAGTTCAAGCAATCTTGGAAGGCTGAATTTAGCAACTGCACTCAAGGAAGTCAATGCCCAAAAAACAGCTTTGGTTTCCCAATCATGCAAAAAAACACCAAGAAAGCCTCATGCGACCTGTCCAAGTTGCGTCTTTTTCAAAAACGTGTGTGTGTGTGTTTGTGTGTGCTTGTGTGTGCTTCTCAATACTTGGAACGTCATTCCATCAGCCAGCCCATGAATTTACAAAAACAGCTTTCCCTATGCATAGATGACGATTTGGGGTATCCCCATTACTGTAACTTCCTCAATTGTTGGTTACATCCTCCTTTTATCATCAGCATACATCCCCCAAAAAATGGTGGATTGTTGCTTCAATCCCACCAGTGACGGAAATTCTTGGAGATATCCCCATCATATCCGAATTTTTGATCGGTTTAAGCCCCAGTGAATGAAACATTGCAATGGATAATCAACCATTTACTTCGATGATGTTCCCATTAAACTGTCCATTTGGGGAAAATCCATATGGAACAACATGTGAAGTCAGCATTTTTCCACATGTTTCATAGGTGTTTAAGATAGCTAATTGCTAGGCCAATCGCAAAAAAAATCATCGAACTGGGCCCATGGCTGGGAGATTTTCCGCCCAGGTGCGAGTCTTATCTGGGCCCGGCTGGCTTCAGCGCGGTGCAAGTCTCGCCCCCCGCAGAACATGTGATTGGACCTTCCTGGTCCACACGCTGCTGGGATCCGCAAGATGGAAGCACAAGACAAAGAAAAGAACATGTGTGTGTATATATGTAGCTGCATATATATATATACTGTAATATGATTAATATGTCCTAAAACTAAAACTAAATAAACTTTAAAGGCGGAGTCCTGTTAATACGCAGTGAAGGTGATTTGAAAGTGAATCCGGGAGAAGAACGCACGTAATTGTATGTGTACATAAATGCAGAATAAATTAGGATAGAATGTTGAAGTTGTCCTTTTCACACTGGTGAAAATGAATGAAAATACAGGGATGATTGTATCCAATGTGAAAGCCTGTTGAACCCCTTTTTCTTCACAACTGTTCTTGGTACCTGTTACCCTGAACAGCGTTGAAACAGTTTTCCATAGTTTTCCCGTTTGAGGACATAATTGGCTGAAACTTTCAGATGGCATGAACCAGTGATGGTTTCAACATCTAAAATGATGGTCCATCCCCACAAACACGCTGACCCCAGGTCACCATAGGTCACCAATGTTTGGGGAGGTTAGAATTTCCCCCGAAATTCTCGAGGTTATCAGCCCGTTTCCTTCAAGTTGGATTCCCGTGGAGGAACGCCTGATCAGTTCAATGACATGGTGACCAGGTGAGCCATGATCATCATGATCACAGCGGCATTCAGGATTTGGGGATGTGTATTATATATATAACCTAGGTTCTGGATGGTTCTGGGGCATCGGATGACCATTTATATCCATATATATATATATATTCACATATATACGTAAGATACACATAAGATATACTTAAGATATGCATAAGATATACACAAGATATACATAGAAATATCCAAGAAATTCGAACTGGGCGAGTCGAGGCTTGCTTCACAAGTGTTTTCCACTGGTGTTGGGTGGATAAACATGTCCTAAGGAGTATTTGGAGCTGCAATTGGGGTTATGAATGGGTAGAACTATGGTTATTAGTCGGGATACTACCTCCATGACTATAGTGATATAGCCACTTATCACTGGAACTGCACCCCCAAGTATCGTATTTGAGTTTCTTTTCTTGTCCTTGTGATTTTTAAGTAGATAGAATAGAAGCGCGAGGGTGGGAAGCTCACAAAAAACAGCGCCCAATTCTGGTCAATCGTTCTTGGGACCCTGCCTGTCTTCCAGCACACAGGTTTACTCTATGCAAGTTTGTTGCCATGGCAAACCAATCTTTAAAGATCATCAAGTTAGCTGAAATGGAGTTGGGCCAGTTGGGTCACTGCCTAGCGACCATCAATCTTTGCATCCATTGACATCCATTTACCATTTGTTTTGGTTGTTGTGATAGAAAAGTAAAACACCATCTGAAACATGAAGTAATACCAGTAGCAGTAGAAATGATCGTTTCCGTCCCTTAGAAGCCACCCTGTTGCATGGCAAAAATCATGGCTGTTCAAAAAAAAATAATCGGGTCAGCCGCCCAAAGTTTCACAAATCTTTGGCGAACACGTTGGAGATCCTCGGATCTTCGTTGTGCAGGTGCAAGAAGGCAGGTGTGGCGGTCATGGTCGACACCGTCGTCAACCACATGGCTGGGCTCGCAGTCCTGAAAAAGTCCCAAAAGTCTCCCAAAAGTCATATTAGAACGAAGACTCTTTGAAATTCTGCACATAGTATTTGAATACACACAAATAAATATGTATCATATATATGTATATATATACATACACATGAATATTAGCATATAAATGAGTATACTTTTTGAATAATATACATTACATAGATATGGAGAGTCCTGGATGCTCCTCATATGGCCAAGTCTCGTACCAAAAAATGGGATGATGACCATCTGGTAAGAGACCGGCTGGAACAGAGAGCTGGTTGATTTTAGCAACAAAAATTCATCAAACACATTCAAACACCAAAAAAACAAACCCACGGATCAGCAGAAAAACAAAAAAAACAAGAAACAAAAAAATCACTACATTGTTCCCAATTGTTGTTGTGTTTTATTTGTTATTTATGTTTGTTTTTTCTTGATTTTATTTAGGTTTTCTGGTTTGTTTGTGTTTTTCTGTTTGCTTTGGTTTTGTTTTTTTGTTTAGTTTAGTTATTCTATCTGTGCACTCGGGCTCTTAAATCTGGGTAGTCACAAATGGCAATGGGAAATCAGCCATTTGTATTGTAGATGATTTTTTGATACAACTTTGGATTTTCCATTGCCATGGTTGATTGCCATGGCTGATTGTCGCATGCATTTGGGTGGTTGAAATCCACATCACTTCCTGATCTTCGAGAATTTGAATGGAAAAAAACAACAGTTTCCAACCAACCAAGATATACTATAGGTGTGTATGTGTGTATATATATATTATATTATATTATATATATATTAAACGCCCAGGCCACGGATCTCGCCTAGATCCAACCACCGCTAAGACTGCTCCTTTGTCTCGCCTGAGCCATGAGTGTCTTCGCCGATCGCCGCACCTGAAGGAAACGCAAGGCCACATGACCCCAGTCAGGTGGAGAATGGGTGCTGCTTTTAAACTCCCAGTAATATGAAAAACAACAAACTTAGAGCAAAAACAAAACAAACAACAAGCACCAAAAACAACCAGAACACAAACAACAAGGAACCAAACAGAACCCGCTGGGAGAAAGCGCATTACCATTGGAAAAGGGAAGCTGTCTTTCAGCTTGCAAACTTTCGCACCACGTTGGAACCAGGATAGGGCGGTCCAGTGGCTAGACCGTTGCACTTTTCAGTGAACTTAATGGCCTGCAAATAATTGGGCAAATCGGCTACACGCGGGCCCTTTGATGCCCCTTGTTTCAAAATCCATAGAGCAAATAGTCCGTTTGGGACTCATCTTGTGCCAAGCCCTCATAAGACAACTTCTGGCGCGCTACAGCCGGCAGCTCACACAAAGTCTTGCCCCGCTCCTTGATCGAAGAAACACCAGGCGGCAACTCGACCGTCTGAGAGCTCAGCACCTTGGGAGAAATCACCTGCTGGCCACCAATTGCAGAAGAACCAGTGGGCACTCCGCCGCAGGCCAAATCCCAGGGCTCATCATCGAAAGCCATGTCAAAGGAAACAATAGAGTCATCGCGAAGGCGCTTGCTAGAATCAGCCATAGCTCCTGGCATCTCTGCTCCGGCAGCTTCAGACGCCACATTCTGCAAGCCATACTTCTTCAGACGATCCATGGTGGCCTTCAAGGCCCGGAACTCCTCAGCGGATACTGCGTCCTGAGACATGGCAAGAGTCAGACAGGATTAAAACTCAGATGACTATCTTCGACTGGCAACAACACGGTGCAGGCTTGACAAAAACGCATCACCGAAAGACTGCTTTTGGTATTGCTGCGTTTCACACAGGCTTGCTAAAAGGAAAGGCGAAGAATTATTTTCTGAACACTGCACAAGAGAAGGCTGGCATGATGGCTTCGACAAACAGGTTTTATGCTTAACTTATGTAAACTCCGTACACAGCGACCAAAACTGAAAAAGGACGTTAGTCAGCACAGACGACTAAACTCCCCCATCACTCACTGTCAGGTTTGACTGCGGTGGACCGTTGGTTTTCAACTGTTCGTTCTTTGGCTTTCAACTGGCGTCTCTGTTTTCCCTGCTGCTTCCGGTCCAGAACAACCTGCTCATCGGCTAGCTGGTAGTGATACTGGCGGATGACTGATCGCAAAAGGTCCAGGGGTTCTCCCTTGTCTTTGGTAAAGGCATCTGCAACCATTCGGTCGGTGGGACACCATCGGGGTTCTAAACCGCATCGCTGAATTGACTGACGGATTATGGCAATATCAATGGCTGTCCTCTTATCATCTAAAGAACCCCCATTACCCAAGGAATTCAAATGGTCATATAATGATCTACAATCACTTACCCCAATCGGACTCCTGCGCTTCAGCACCTGATCAACATCGGCTAAGCTGAAGGGACCATCGACGGCCTCCGACAGAACCAAGACCAAGAGCATCCATTCGGCTATTCCTGCAACCCGTGGAAGTCTGTACGATCTCCAGCCAATGCAGTGAATCGGAACATCATGACCTTGAGAAAAAGCTTTGGAAGTGAAAGCTAACAGCCAACCATCTTGTGTTTTCATGCTCAAAGTATTTGCAAAAGCTGCATCAGACCAGAAAACTACTGTAAGATCCTGTAAAGGGATATAGGGAACGGTAATCTTTAAATGGGACTGTTGTCGAGCCCGCCTCACTGCCTGATTGGCTTGCAAAAGGTCTTGGATTGTGGACACCGGAAAACTCTGTTGGGAGAGAGATATTTGCACGGCCAAGTCAGGACGCGACTGGGAACTCAGCCAGCCTAGAGCGCCATTGACAGCTCTAAGGGCTGCCACCTCTTTCTCACTTGCTGGGAGCCAATACTTACAAGCCCTTTCCTTAGAGATGCTAATGGGTCGGATGCTTTCGGCATAGTCTTGCTGTTGATATGTGATCTCCAAGGTTTCCGGGTCTTGACAGTATTGAGTTCCCAAAAATTCCCCTCCGCATGAGCACCAAGAACCCCCTGCAGCCGTCCCTTAGAGTCAAAGCAAAGGTACAAACAAGAATCAAACTTGCTTTTGGTGAAGCCAACAGAAGTTGCAACCTTGTCAAACTCATGATGCCAGTTTGCTGGGGCATCGTTTGCCCCATACACGTTTCCCAGTATCTGGACTAGGCTGCCTGGTTTGACTCCAGGCACACCCCCTGGAGGGAGCTCGGCATACACTGGGTTCTGCAAGGCTTGTTCCAGCACATTTGCCTCCAAGAAGGCCCAAGATCCATCTGTTACTCACAATCACCTGCAAAATAAGGCTCCTACTGAGTTGTGACAACGTGGGTGAATGGCATTTTCCAGCTAAAATCTTTTGAGTAAGATCAGGATCATGGTGACCTCGCAAACACCACCTGGATTTGACCCTTGTGGTCTGGTCTTCCTGCTTCTCCGTAATTAATTAATGACAAAACGACTTGACATGATCCTATCAGGCTTGTGCTTGCGAATCAAGACGGCTTCCTGCGGAGGAATCACATGTATGGCTTGTTTCTCATTTTGGAGGGTTTCCCATTCTACTCTCTTGGAATCATCAATCAGACCCTGCAGCTCGGAGGGATTGTTGGAGTGATGAAGTTCTTTCTGCATTTTCTTCTTCAGGAACGTTGCAAGAAATGTTTCAAAACTCATGCTTGGGTCCTGACTCGCACATTCAGCCAAGAGGCATTGGTCCTCCGGGCTCTCGGTTCGGGAGCTCTTTGCTGGAGGTCCCGTGCTGGGTTCCCTTGACTGAGCACGTTTCCCACCAGAGCTGCGCTCTTCTGCCATTTCCTGCACCACCTCTCGAAGATCCTCTGGCTGTGTTTGGACTGGTCCAAACAAGAAGTTACTGGGGCCTTACGGGACCATACTCCAAGAGTTGTGAAGCTTTATCACCAGTATTGATTCCCCCGGAATAAGGACTGGAAGTGTTGTTGCTCGTAGGTGGGCTCTCAGGATCAACATCACCGGATGCATCCCTTGGATTCTCTGTGGTAGAGACAGATGGTGCAGAACGGTGGCCAACTCTGTTGCTGGCGGCCCAGTGTGTCCTGCGGCAGAATCCAGAAACGGGTTTCCCCAGTCTCTTGGACTTTCTT